CGTTGGCGGGTCTCCGTGTCTGTCTTGCCAGTTTACACGCTGCGGTGTCCTTTTTAGGACTCGAGGAGACATGGGCACTTGGGCAGATCTGAGCCTGATACAATTGCATATATAGCCAATTCTCAGAGAAATAAATGAGTCTTTGTCCATATTGCTATACTCATTTCTCTGAATAATTGATTTGATGGCCATAGTTTCATCGCCCGGTGATCTCAGTTCATATCACATGGCGTCATGCAAACCTAGACTACAGGAATGCAAGCTACTATCACTGAGAGATAATAGTGAGATTTTGTCCAAATAGCGATGCACTTTTTCCCTTCTGTGGGTCATTTTGACTTAGTTTGATCAGACAAGACGGAGTATCTGTGCCGAGTGCAGAAAGTGTGTCATTTTTTTAACAATATCGCCCCTGCATTTTTCCGAACGATATACATGCGCGTCGTATCTGTGATACATCGCAATAACATCTCCATATTTGTTTTTCCCCTATCACGTCACATTCCACAATGAAGAACGTGCACTCAGAGAAATGAGTGAGACTATGTCCAAAAAGCGATGCATTTTTTTTTTTTGTTTTGGCGTTTTTCATCCTGACCCAGTTTGACCCTGCGCCCACTCTCGGCTCGTTCTGAGGCTAGGAAAGTGTGTCACTATTTGCACAATATGACCCGTGCATTTTTCTTAGTGCATTTCTATATCACGTCACATTCCACATTGAAGAACATGAGATATCGCTGTCCTTCATTACTCTTATCATGTTCAGCTTCCCATCGTCTAGCATCTTCACATTTTCTGTAAAATTCTGTTACCGTGTAGAAATTTTTTCTATCACATTTTTTTTAAAACGCTGGTACCAAGTAGGATTTTTTCTATCACATTTTTTATTTAAACGCTGGTACCAAAAAGGAATTTTTTATCCCACTTTTTAGGAGCAGTTAGCAAGTAGGAATTTTCGCTGTCTAAACATATGCAAACTAAATTGCTCAAACGTTCATAAATTTTAACCCTCATTGAAGACAAATCACTAATTCATAATTAAGAAATATTTAGTAATGCTGGTATAAAATTAACTAACAATCATGGCGACGATTTCATTGGAGTTCTCATTTATGGTATAAACAATCGGCAACGTTGATTGTCTCAATTGTTGGTAAATACTCCTGCGTGAATATTCAAGTAATTCAAGTCTTTAAGTTCTTTAGCGTCAATGCTTATGCCTTTTAAGTTTTTAAAGTTCGAGCCAAACTTGCTGACCTTGCGGGCTGTTGTTTCAGCTGCACTGTCATAGATCATATAAATTTTTTCGTCCGTAACATTAAAGAGCATTCGTGCTGTGTCCCTAATTTTTTAATGCTGTTTATTTTGGCAGAAATATCAGCGAACGGGATCTTTGTTTGTCTCGAGACAAAATTTATATAAAAATAAAACAATTTTTGGCCGAATTTCTTTAATTTGATTTTTTTTTGCGTCAGCGATGCAGATTTAAAATTTATATACTCTTAATTGCCTTAATTGCATAATGAAACAGTATATTTATTAATGAAATTGGGAAAATAATAATCATGAAATGTTTACAAAAATATTCAAAATCGCTTTCCTCATCACAAAATCTACTGTGAAATATATGCATTATTTTTTCAGTCGGCATTTGATACTAGCTTGATTACGAGGTCTTCTCGCCCTTAATTCGGTTAGTAATTAACTAATTACATCCTAAATTCCTAATTAATTAATTAATAATACTAATTAATTCTTAATTCTAAATAATATATAGAGAACTAATTATCATAAATATAGAGAATTATAATCATTTTATCATTATTACGTTAATTAAAGGAGTTTTTCTAAATCCTTTAAACAAAAGACTTTCATCTTTTGATTTCGCAGCTCAGAATCTTCAGATTTAAAAGGAGTTACGTTTAATCGAAATTTGTTTGCCCAAGACTTTTACTCAACTAAAAAATTAACATTTTCTCCTGATTTTATTAAATCAGATCCTGTATCAAAGTTTTGTCTTCCATTTCATAACTGAAGATATTCAGAGATCGCTAAATGTGCTCAGTATCATTTTTGCAGCTCGCAATTCATTGCACAATTGCAATTTAGCGCCCATGGCGCGGTTTGCATGTGTTGGAGGGGATGGCATTTAATCAAAGTCTGACCTCGCTTAGATAGGAGCACTCCAATTGTCTTACGATAACGTAAGCGTTCCCAAGGGTCGTTTCTTGCATCACTATGTACACTCAGAGAAATAGATGGCATTATGTTTAATAAGCAATGCACTTTTTTTGCCAGCAATTGAGTGGGTCATCCTGACCCGGTTTGGCTCGTAAAAAGTGCTACGTCCGCTATCTGCTCGTGCTGCGTGTATGAATTTTCGCTCTGGACCATGCGACACATTTATTTTTCTGAATGTATCTATAACCACACGTTAAATTGAAGACTTACGCACACCTGTTGCTATCATCGTTTAATGATTATTAATATTAATGAATATTATTAGTCAATGATTTGATTTATTTTTTCTCAATAAATCTTAGTATCCAATTAATGGATAAATATTAAATTTTCAGTATTTATCAAGTTAGGCTCGATATTTCGAGCTTAAATTGATGAAAAGTTAGTAATTAGCATTCAAAGTTATGTCATATCTGTTGTCAGTTTAGTTTGATATATTGTTGTTTAATCGCCGCCCGTCCGGTTGTAAATATAATAATTATTATATAATATAATATTACATTATCATTATATTATAATTGTATACTAATAGAGAAAACGACTGCTGTAGGTAATAAACCTACAGCAAGTAATATAGACATGACTTGGCATGAAAATAGTGAAAGTACACATAATCTAGTGTATTCATGTAAATTGAAGATAATAAGTGATAAGTCATGAATTATTAATTTTTACTTTCGCTTCAATTAAGTGAACTAAATTTTAATTGCACACCAGCAGGATAAGATAAAAGTGACGCATGCATTCAATTCAATTGTGTCATGATTCACTGAGACGAAATGATAATAGATGTTTCGTTGATTGCATTGTGTTCTGGTATTTTCATTGTACAAGTTCCGTTACACAGTGTATCATTCAGAGAAATGTATGGCATTATGTCCAAAAATTTGATGCACTTTTTTGTCAGCAATTGAGTGAGTCATTCTGACCCAGTTTAGCTCGACAAAATCGACAAAAATCGATGAGTGAATATATTATATTAATGATACATATTTAACGATGACTTTAAACTGTTCTAGCGTCTAGAAATCACAATTGGATAAATTTCGTTACATAATCTTCGCAACGCATTTTATCTAAAGTGTACATTAAAAAATATGTAATATAGTTTTTGTGACGATTGACTGCTTGCGAGACTATGATTTTTATTATTAGATCTATTCAAATGGACTTAAATTTATTATCTGAATAGATCTAATTTTATTATAATTAATTATATTATTATTGTATATTGTCATTATCATTGGGATTAAATTTTGAATGGACGTGTCTGCTGTTGAAACTGTAAGGCATTCTTTGATATCAAATTAGAACAAGCGATACGATATCAGAAACCTAATAAAGGGAATAACTTTAAATGCATTAGATATTTTTGCTTCGGAAAGTAATGAACCTATAGTTCAAATTAAAATCAATGACATTCTATACATTCGATGTCGTTTGTCTTATTCACATGAGGATATTTATTTCATGGCAGTTTCCATACATACCTCATTGCAGATCTGGTGCAGCTACCCGAGCTTGGGGCGCTCGTTGTGCGATAGCGCGATAAGACAAAGCGTTATCAGTTAGAGGCTGCAGCGTGCACACAGAAAAATTACTGGGACATATTGTCTAAAAAAGTTAGTTGGACATACTTTCCAAATAGTGACCCATTTTCTTACCCACAGCGCAGTACGCATCTTTGACATGCCCTTTTGCCGGGACAATCTGGGTCTGGATGACCCACATAGAGCAGAAAATGTGTCGTTATTTGGAGAGACTCACTCATTTCTTTGAGTGTAAAGCCTTTGTTGCATGTGCGGTTCGTTGGTTGATCGTGCGGCAGAGCCCGGGTGCTTCTGGCCGTTAGCGGTGTGCGATTTTTTTTGTTCTCACTTGAAATTAGGAATTTAGATTTTAGTTTTTAGATTTAAAAATTTGGATTTATTTGTGCTCATTTGAAATAAAATAAATTTTGAATATTCTTGGGTGTTTTTTCTAAGTGAATTACATACGTGGATTGGTTCAGTCGTGTGATATAATATGAAGAGATATATTTGTGATAGTACCTACTCGTATTCATGTTACAGTCATCTTGTTCAATTTCGAGTGGAGTTTTGATCAAACTCCATATCATTTATATTCAGAATGTGCTTTAATCAGTGCACACACATCAATTAGTACAACTATTTTTAATACTGTCTGCAAACATATAATTGTGTAAGAAATATCTGTGTTAGTTGCGTTGTATTTCAGCTGGAAAATATTCAGACAGAGAAACTGCTGTATTACAATCGGCTATTGTCTTTCCACGAAGCCATAAAGTTTATTGTGGCTATTGTCAAGTATAGGATAATTAACTTTATGGTCGTCAAATAAACTTGACATTTATATAAATTGTGCAAAATCGCTGATGAATTATGAACTAATATGGGCAACTTTTTTCTGTTAGTGATGTTTGACAACACCGTTCAAACTTTCGAATGTTCTTATAATATAATATTATTCGTATAATCTTGTTATATTATTAATAATATTCGTATAATTTAACAAAAAGTGTCCTGTAAATTTTTATAATAGGATTGAATGTAGACTAAATCTTCATCTCCATGCGAAATAATTATTGGATCAAAAATAAATACAAGTATGTAAATGTTTCTTGTTTGAATGATATTGACATACCTAAAGTTTTCAAGCGCATTTGTTCCAAGTTATTTTGAAATGCTTAGTAATTCTTCAGATCGGATTCATATTATTCATATTCTCTTCATATGTTATTGAGGAAACCAAATTTTCTTCTTTGCCGTAATTGGAGTGCGAAAAATGAAGACGAATCTGAGTTTTGACTCGAAAAAGAAAGTGACCAAAATTTGAGCCAGAATTGACAAAACTAATAGAAAAGTTCTTTATTTATTAAACACTGCAACTTGATAAAAATCTAACACCAATATCATATGGGGAAGTTACATATGATTTCTTTATTTTAACTTAGATGGATGTACAATCACAGTACAACTGTACAAGTGTGTAACGTTTCCCCCTTTTTTGTATTTCTCAACTGGGCTTCAAAATAACGTTTACACTTGGAAAAATACGTGGAAAAACGTCTCAACAGAACAGCTCAAATGTCACGTCGACCTGTCTCTGTCCATGGAGTAAGTTTTTTACTATTATTTTTATTATTATTATATTCAAATGTTTGTTTCCATCCTTATTCATGCAACATGCCAATTAAAACATAATAATTATTTGCACAAGCACAATTCAACTAACTCTTATTTATTTAATAAACTTTAATGTGTAAAAAAAAATTCATATTACTATCGGTTATTCTGAGTCCAGCTAGTACTTGGTGTGTTTATCGTCTGTATTTATATTTTTTATTATATTACTTATATTTAATCTGATATTTATGTGTCCCAAAAACCAGGCAGCTGTCAACAAAACTTCCGTATGTAAAAATTTCTGATCCGTATACTCACTCATATTTATGTGTTAAAAAAAGTTTATTTATGATGATAAATGTCACGACATCGCAGAAAACAATATCATGATATATTATGATACTTTACGCATTCGTTGTGTGGCATTTTTAAACATTTGCGCGTAATACCGCCTAGCTCTTAGTACAGAGTCGCGTGCACTACGGTGTACAGTGCACTCATCTTCAGTGTACTCGTACACAGTGTACTCATCTTCAGTATACTCGTACACAGTGTACTGTACTCATCTTCAGTATACTCGTACACACTGTACTCGTACTCATCTTCAATAGCTAAATGAATGGCTGAATGGCAGACGGTCTTCACCATTCATTGAGGTTCATTAAGCTCATAGGAAGACTTTTACTTCCTTGTACATGGCGCTCGCTCCTCGGTTCTTTACTCGCCTTGCGTCTTGCAGTTCTGTTTGTTGAAATTTGTTTCAACACACATCACATGGTTCTGTATGTTGAAATTTGTACTTCAATTTAAAATTTGCCAAAAAACGGAATTGATATCCCCATTCTATGTATCTCAAGTTTAATTGAATTGACGAACGATACGCAAGATCTTGTTTCTTATTATTCTGGGATCGGCTTCAAGTATTTTTGTACGTATAGGATAACTTTTCCGTTGCGTTGGTTATTTCTATCGAATGACCGAGAAAATTGAACAAAAAAAAAAAATCCCGGCCATTTCTATCTAATGACCGGGAGATCTATTGAAGATCAAAACTGTAAAATGTTCTCATGTGGAATATTTTGTGTCAGTTAGGTAAACGGAGTTCTTCACTAAGTAAATAACGTTGAAATAACTTTGTATCAACGTAATTGAAACATTAAATGCCAGCGGTTTCAACTTCGGTATGTAGATTGTTACTTTACTACCAAACGCTTTTTCGTTATGACTGAGGATTCCTCGATGTTGATACGATGTTCCAGCGAAAACCATGTAAATAAACGGCTTGTCATTCATTTGCTCATCGCCATTCATTAATGCTTTGCACCGCACATTCATTTCCTTGAGCTATACATTCAGGCTCTGTCCCAGATATGAATGGACTCATTCATGACAGGCATATGTTGAGGAACATATGAGGAATGTGTAGAATTAGTTCTCGCAACACGCGTGACTTTAAAACATCATTATAATGTCTTTCGGAATAAAATTCAAATTGTTGTTGAATCTGAAATTTTTTTTAGAAATGAATGTGATTACATGTCAGGGATGCAATTATTATTTTATTGTATTAAGTATATAGTTGGCATGAACCCGACTTTAATTTCACGCTTTTGGTGACAGTTTATATATTCTCGACTGATTGAATTCCCATACACTATTTTTTTAAACATATTTCTTCTTAGACTAGAAATTTATTTAATTTGCTTTTTATTACATTTATAATGAAAGAAAACCAAAAATATGGTTTTTCTTTTGTTTCTGTGTGTTTTGGAATTATTCATTATTTCCAAGGGATATGTTTAAAAGTTCTGAACTGCAGTGATTTATACTCCATAAATATTTACAGTTGAAAGTGTTTTAAATATTCATGATTTATTGGAGCATGAAGGAGACTCCGCGTCTAACTTCACAAACATTCTCCGGAAATCAGCGCTTTAGTGCAGTTTTTATCTATAATAAAACCTAATTTTATCAGGCCTTTAATGCCCTAAAATAATAAAATAATATCAAGCGATAAGCCAAGAGATGCATATATTACTCGTTTATATCAGCTTTTGTTTTATGTACGTTAGAATAATCGGGATATTTTCACTGCACTTAGAATAAAATAATACGCTGATGCTCGGTAAATTTTTACTGCATTTATCGTAAAATGTAACGTAAAGTCAACATAATTTCAATAAACTTGGCATTTTCTTGACTTTTAAATTCGTGGTTAATTCGGGAATTTTGTAAAATCAATTTTGGAAAAAGAATATTTACTTTAAACTCAACTTACTGATTTTTATCATGAGTTGTAAATATCCTAAATTATTTTATCATGAGTTGTAAATTTATGTTTGCTATAATTCTATTCACTTCCGGTATAGTGATATTGTATGCGATACTGGCAAAGTAACGCTGAAAAATTCATTGTCCGACAAATTCATATTCATCAAATCGATCTTAAAAAGAACATTCACTTTAAACTCAATTTATTTCTTGTTGTAAATATCTTCAAAATCATTTTTATTAATGCAAATGGACAAGATATTATTCAGGAATTGATGTCACTTATTTGCTTATATCGAAAGTTAACTAAAAATTTAGAAGCAAAGAATAGTCCACAAAAATTCATATCATTATAGAAAACGTTTTGGAGACCAGCTCCATCGATCGTCAGTTCGTAGAATTGACTTTCTATGTAAATTCTAAATTCGATGGAGCTGGACTCCGAAACGTTTTTTATAAAGATATGAATTTTTGTGGACTATTCTTTGCTTTTAAATTTTTAAATATTATTCATTTCCGGCGCTCGACACGAAGCAAGCGTGCTTGTAGAGCCGCGTCACGCAGCAGCTGTCACAGCTGTTTATAAATACTACAGCTTCTGCCCAGAGCTGGCACTCTGCTGGCACTGTGCCAGCGTCGCTACTTGCCTGTAATGTCCCCGTGAAGTGGCAGTGTGGCGGCACCATGTGGCAGTAACGTGCCTTTTGTGGCGATAATAGATTTTCTGCAAGCATCGTTGCTATGCATGTGAATCTTATAACTGTAATTTGGCCTCGAAGAGGCTGTGTTGCTCACATTTGGCATCATGTGGCATTATGTGACATCGCTTGGAATTGTGGGTGTGGCACCATGTGACACCGTGTGGATAAAACTTGTTTATTTAGGCGCTACTGTGGCTTTTTGGCCGTTCAGTTTCAAGTCGAGGCAAATCTTTCTGCTGGTAACGTGCTTCCAAAATTACTATGTGGCAATGTGATGCCATGTTGTCATAATAGGCCTATAGTGTCATTAAATAAGTGCTTAGTTGGTTACTCAATGAACGCTAAGCCTCTAATGTGCTTGTACAGTTGTTGTGTGGCGCCATGTGGCTTCATGTGGCGCCATGTGGCTTCATGTGGCGCTATGTGGCACCTAAATTGCCACCTCTTTTTGTGGCAGTGATGGCATCGTTGGCAGCTCAGTGCCAAGCTCGCTGATGGTGCCAGTGCCACAGCTGGTATCAGTTTTTGTAATCGACAGAATTAGTTATTGTTCAAATTTACATTAAACTTGTACGTCTTCAAAGCATTTGTAAGTTGCCCAGACATGAAGATTATTATTTATTATTATTATTGAGAATTATATATACGACTCTGAATTATCGTTTATATTTATAATTATTGACTCAAGTATCAAGTATCAATTTCTTCATCTTGATCATGGTCACATGTAGCGTAAGTTAAATTAATGAATTAAAGTTTCGACAATTAGCTGCGTTTATCGGCATAGTTTACGAATTGTCTTGCAGCGCACCGTATTTATGTCAACGGCAGTCAATATTAGCAAAAATATCTTTCGTTTTGACAACATTTGCACGAGTTCATTCATTCACTATTTTGGTCTCTGGAAATGAACAGCTGATTCTATTTCATAAAAATGTATAACTCAGTTCTGAATTCAGGCTGTATTTGTGCAACGTGTGCTTAAATCGTGTGCAACTTTTCAAAACCCGAGCTGATTAAATTTGGAAATAAATAAATATACGTATATACATATATATTCAATGAAATTAATTAGGCTTATATATATTCTGAAATTGAAAAAGCTATTTCTGAAATTGAAAAAAAAATTTCTGCAGTTGAAAGCAATTGATGAAATTGGGAAAACAATTTCTAAGATTTAGCAAAGCAATTTCTTTCTGAAATTGAAAAGAGCAATTTATGAAATTGAGAAAAGTAATTTCTGAAATTGAGAAAAGCAACTTCTGAAGTTGAGAAAATCAGTTTATGAAATTCAGAAAAGAATTAAATTAATGAACAAAATTCTGAAATTTTTTAAAATAATTTCCTGTGATTTAGAAGAAAAAACAATTTAGAAATCGAGACAAAAATCTTAAAATTGTGCAGTATAAAAACCTACCCAATGACCCCTCGTTGTTAGACATGCGCAATGCTCACGAGGGCCGCGCCAAACTCTTGGTTATCTTGCAGGAAACAAATGGGTCAAATTGTCTAAATAGTGACTCACTTTCTGCACGTAATACCCGTACTCCCTTTTTTCGGACAAAAGTAAATCAGAATGACCATCACTGGGGGGCAAAAAGGGCTTCGCTAATTGTTCAAAATCTCATTCATTTATTTGAGTGTAACGTAAGGAAAGTCGGTAAGAGGGAAGTTTCTTCCCCGTCCCAAAAGTTGACTTTATGGGGGGAGGGGGGGATGACCCACGTCCCCCCTTGACGGAATGGGGCTTGTCTGCCTCGACCTTGACCGGCCCTGCTTTGCCCGTTCCAACACGCCCGTTCCTGCATCACTCAGAAAAATAATGCTTAATTCATAATTGAGAAACTTTGTCCATATATCAGTGCACTTTTTGCCCTTGTGTGCGTCATCCTGACTCAAGTTTGCAAGACAGAAGGACGTACTAGTGCTAAATGCAGGAAGTGTCACTATTCGGATAATATGACCCTTTCGTTTCTCTGGGTGTACTATATACTGTTCCTAAAAATTATAACAAGTTTCAACTGCCAGCACAGCGGCTAAATTTTCGCGGATAATTCCCTTGTATGCCAGGTGCTATTTTCGTAATATTGGAGGTCAGGGACTATATTCGTAATATTTCAGATCTTACAACAATATTTGAATTATATGACCGTGCTAGTATAGTGATTTAAAACATGCTGTACAAATATAATATGAAATAGATCTTATAGACGAAGATATAATGTAGTAGCTCTGTAGGCGCTGAACTATGAAGCACCAAGTTGATTGTTTGAATGGGCTGAGGTAATTTTCATCTACGATTTCGCATTTTTCTCACATTTTTAGAAGTTTCAAATTTTTTAGTTAATTTTTTAAGCATCGAAAAAGATCTTGTTGTAAACTTGAGCACCTTTTAAAACACCTTTTTTAGTAACAATTACTGATTTGGGATTGGCATTTAGGGGATTTTTTCCTCCGCTGGTGTGAGTTGTTAATTGATGTTGAGTTTTGCGAGGTCAGCGGGTCCATTTGATCAGCTGCGATCTGAAGGATTTCTGCTCTCTGCTCTGCTCTGCACTTTCAAATTTTGCAAGTTTTCTGATATTTTACATGCTGAAGTTCAGGGTTTTTACATTGTTAAAAATTATATTATTTCTTTATACTTCCATATTTTATAAAGCATATTTTATGTATGCATTATATTCATATTGAATCATATTTTGAAAAGAATATTAATATGTTGTACGCATTTATTATGTGTTTTATATTACAATACAATAAATTTTGTTTGCTTGCCTATTATATTTCAAAACTATGCAGAATTCAATTATGCAATGAATTATAATTATGAGTGATTCCAATATTTATTTTAAGAGCTGAATTTATTGAATTATATCCTGTTAGGATGTTTTTTTTCAATGAGTCCTTCAATGAGTCATTGATGAATGAATGTTCAAATAATGAATGAATGGTGCCATAGTGATTTTTTCACTCTCTGCATTATTTTACATAGGTACCACTTTCAAAGCTAATTTGATGTAGAATTCAGGTTAATAACTTCGTGATGTTCAAATCATGAATATATTTATCAATTATAATCATGCGATTAGTCTCAATTAACGCGAATTCTTTGGATCCGACGCTTGTTACTTGATATCTATCTGTTTCAGCCCTAATTTACTGTGTTATTTACACAATAAATATAAATTGAGGATTAATTATACAAAATATGATGAATTCTTTATTTTAAGGTTTATAAAGTACGGTGCATTTCTCAACGTTTCGGTCGCATATGTTGTGCATTTCGGCTGCAACGCAATGGACACCGGTTTGACGGGGTTAATTTGTCAGCTATTTTAGCCTGAGTTGGTCTAACTCCAGGCTAGTCTGAAACTAGCACTGGTCTACATCTGGGTTGTTCTAACACTTGGTTGGGCTAACTCCAGGCTGGTCTGAAACTAGCGCTGGTCTACATCTGGGTTGTTCTAACACTTGGTTGGGCTAACTCCAGGCTGGTCTGAAACTAGCGTTGGTCTATCTCTTGGTTCTTCCAACACATGGTTGGGCTGATTCCAGGTTGGTTTAAAGCTGGGTGGGTCGGACTCTTGGTTGGTCTAAATGCAGGCTGGTCTAACACCGGTTTGGTTTTACACTGTAACTCCATTTGTGGATTATCGCCTCGCTCACACCCGCCTTCAGTTTCAGAGTTCGGGTTCATCGGCCTCGAGTGACACGTTTTTGACCGCCATGGTTTTACTATTGCACCTTTTGCTGCAGAGTTTCTTTTAACTCTTAGGTCGATGAGAAGCGCACGTTTACTCCATTCGCACGCTTCTACTTAGGCAAGGGCACTAAAAGTAGTGCCCTTGCCTAAGTAGGCAAGGGCACTTCTACTTAGGCATATGGCTAAAGGCACTTGCGCAAGGCAACTGGCTCAAGGCAACAGGTCTAAGGCATCTGCTGGTGGCACTTTGCTCAAGGCTCATGGCTCAGGGCACATGGCTTAAAGCACCTGATCCAAGGCACTTGACATTAGACACAGATACATGGCTCAAGGCACCTGATAGGATGCACACAAAGCTCAAGGCAGCTGATAGGATGCGCCTGGTTCAAGGCACCTGCTTAAGGCAGCTGATAGGATGCACCTGGTTCAAGGCACCTGCTCAAGGCAGCTGATAGGACGCGCCTGGTTCAAGGCACCTGCTCAAGGCAGCTGATAGGATGCGCCTGGTTCAAGGCACCTGCTTAAGGCAGCTGATAGGATGCGCCTAGTTCAAGGCACCTAGCTCAAGGCAGCTGATAGGATGCACCTGCTCAAGGCACCTGCTCAAGGCAGCTGATAGGAAGCACCTGGCTCAAGGCACCTGCTGAAGGCAGCTGGTCGCCATGGGATTAAAGTTCACACAGGTTAGCGGTCCACGAGAGTTATGGCGTCTCCTTATTAGGAACTTGTTGGGCGAGGTGCGGCACACAACAATCCTGCTTGGTCAACAATCCTGTTTGTCCATCACCACAGCAACAATCCTGTTTGTCCATCATCAAAGCAACAATCCTGTTTAACCTACAATCCTGTTTGGCCATCGCGGCAACAACAATCCCGTTTGGTCACACAGACAGCAACAATCCTGTATGGCCTTATGGCAGCAACAATCCTGTTTGGCCTTACGATAACAATCCCGTTAGGCAATCACGACAATCCTGTCTAGCTTTTATTATAGCCACTGCATGGGTGAGAGGGGAAATATATCCTGAATATTTTTTTTGCCATGTCCTAGCTTTCATCATCTTTTGGATTGGAAAAATATAATAAGGTTAAAAATATATAAATATCTAAATAATATAATGAGGATTTTATCTTTGGATAAAGACTAAAGAATTCATGCAGACACGGAAGCTATATAATATATGTTGACTGCTCTACGTAGGTACGGTTTTTGCTAACGGCTGTCAAATGTAAATGGTCTTTATATAGTGTTACACACCCGCGGTCTTTGTGATCTTTAGACGACCTCCGGCTCGGCATTTGCTTTTTGTTGTTCATCTCATTTAACATTTCGTTATACCCTCATTTGAAATTACATACATTGAATGTTCCACATTACACATATTGGATATTTTACTTACATTGTACACACATTGGATAGTTTACATAGTACACATTACAAATTTCACATTACACATTGAATTGAAAGTTTAACATTGCACATATTTGGAATTTCACATTTCACACATACCGATATTTCGCAATAGACTCATTGGAAATTTCACACATTCAATGAGTCTAGATTGCTCACATTCATACACACTACAAATTGTATTTTACACATTCAGTATCACATTAGTTGTTGCTGCCTGTGTGCGACAGGTGTACTGTAGCCGTTGTTTGTGTATGAATTACATGCGTCACACTGTCCAAATACTGACACACTTTCTGCACGTAGCTCTGCTACGCCATTTTTTCGGGCCTAATTGAGTTAGGATGTCTTATCTAAGAATAAAATGTGCATCGCCATTTGGACTAAGTTGCAGTAACTTCTCTGAGTGCAGTGTTTTCGGTCATCTAATTCTTGTTCAGTTGCTAACGGAAGTAAAACTTATTTTATTAGTACAAATACCTATTAAATTGCCTTATTATTTAAAACTTATTTTATTTAGTACAAATGCCTATTAAATTGCCTTATTATTTGACGGAAATTTTTATGCGTGTTTTGAGTTTAAATTTAAAACCTTGCGTAGCCCTGAAATCCATCACGGTGCTGCTATTGATTAACGGTATTTTTTGAGTGTAATGCTGCGCTGTCGTGCTGCGCGCGCCCTTGACGCCTCCGCCCTACAGGCACGGTGAGGGGTGAGTGGTGAGTGGTGGTGAGGGGTGAGTGGTGGTGAGGGGTGAGTGGTGGTGAGTGTTGAGTGGTGGTGAGGGGCGAGTGGTGGTGAGGAGTGAGGGGTGGTCAGGGATGAGTGGTGGTGAGGGGCGAGTGGTGGTGAGGGGCGAGTGAGTGGTGAGGGGCGAGTGAGTGGTGAGGGGTGAGTGGTTGTGAGGAGTGAGTGGTGGTGAGGAGTGAGTGGTGGTAAAGGGCGTTGATGGAGTGTCACACCATGGAGTGGCCGTGGCCTCCAGGCGCTCCAGTTTCCACGTTACATGCTCGTGTCGCGCGCTGCTCGCTACACCAGATTGATGGCAGCTCCCGCCGTGTACCAGAGTCATTCAGGAATAAATATGTTTATTCTTAAAATATTTATGAATAAATATGCTTATTCTTTAATTATTCTTGAATGAATATGCCTAAAAGGTAGACTAATTGAATCAAATCTTCTAACATATTTAATTTTAGTCGATATATATAGTTGGCCTTTAATGAGTGACCAACGGTAGCAGGCTCACGTTTTCATTTCATGTTCTTTGTAGGCAGGACTAAGCTAATTATTTTCGAGACTTCAAGTGTTACTTGATAAAAAGACTCTCCATTTTGGTTATTAGTATATACATTTTTTACTATTCATGAACACCAATCAACCGTATAATATTTCTTAAAAAAACGTTATTTTCTACAGATATTGACTTTTAATTGGTCGGTTAAACTTATTGGATTGATCGGGTAAGATTGATTGGAAATGTGCCGTTTTTATTCTTCAGTATTTAACTTTAATTTGTGAGTTCTCCGTGTTTGTGTGACCAACTGTCTAATAAAATTTTGTATCTAAGACGGTCTAAAAAAAGCTTGAGTGAATTACTTAAAAGTTATCCATGAACCAAGATTTATATCGAATTTATTGTCCTCAGATGCCGTCCTCAGTGCGGGCTGGGGACTTTAGCGCCTCCTTCCATGAGGACACAATCCACTCCAGTCCCCTCCAGTCCCCTACAGTCCCCTCCACCCGCTCATCCTCCTCCGCATCCTCTTCATCCTCCGTAGGATTCCACCCTCATCGCACCACATCCATGGATTCTCTGCCAACCTCGGCGATGGTTGAAAAAGTCGTAAGTGATTTTATTCGTTGGCATAAATCTCATTAACTGGTGTTACTTTCATCTCAGTAATTTGTGTAGTTTTGTCCTCGGTGTAGTTTTTGCTCTCAGTAAATCTCAGTAACTTGTGTAGTTCTTGCTCTCAGTAAATCTCAGTAAACTTGTGTAGTTCTTGCTCTCAGTAAATCTCAGTAACTTGTGTAGTTCTTGCCCTCAGTAAATCTCAGTAACTTGTGTAGTTCTTGCTCTCAGTAAATCTCAGTAAACTTGTGTAGTTCTTGCCCTCAGTAAATCTCAGTAAATTGTGTAGTTCTTGCTCTCAGTAAATCTCAGTAAACTTGTGTAGTTCTTGCCCTCAGTAAATCTCAGTAACTTGTGTAGTTCTTGCCCTCAGTAAATCTCAGTAACTTGTGTAGTTCTTGCTCTCAGTAAATCTCAGTAACTTGTGCAGTTCTTGCCCTCAGTAAATCTCGGTAATTTGAGTAGTTTTTGCCCTTAATAAATCTCAGTAATTTGTGTAGTTTTTGCCTTCAGTAAATCTCAGTAATTTGTGTAGTTTTTGCCTTCAGTAAATCTCAGTAATTTGTGTAGTTTTTGCCCTCAGTAAATCTCAGTAATTTGTGTAGTTTTTGCCTTCAGTAAATCTCAGTAATTTGTGTAGTTTTTGCCCTCAGTAAATCTCAGTGACTTGTAAAATTTTACCCTTAGGGTAAAGGAAATAGAGATAAAGTAAATAAATAAAGAAATGGTTTTATTGCTCACAAGTTTCACCGATCATTGAGTGCACACAAAACGTTCGTTAGTGAATATGTATTATGATTGTCATACCTTCCAACATCGGTATGAAAAAATTCTTATTATTCGTGTAAAAGTGCTTGTATTATATTGAAAGGGAAAACATTCATATTCTGTCGTTTGAAAGGCTTTATATGATACTGAAAGGGAAAATGTTCCTATTCTTTCGTATGAAAAGCTTTATATGATACGTACCGTATTGAAAGGAAAAATATTGTTACTCTTTCGTATGAAAGACTTTATATGATATCGAAAGGGAAAATATTCATACTATTCATATTGTTTCGTATGTAAGCCTTTGTATAATATCGAAAGTGAAAATCTTCATATTCTTTCGTATGAAGATGTTTATTTAACATTAAAAGGGTTTCGTGTGTGCAGGAGCATATCCCGACGCGCACGGTGGGGGCGGCGCCCCGACCCAACGCTAAGGCCATGATGTTTGTAAAGGTGAGAAGTAATTTTACAATTTTCTATTTGAATTTCTTGACGAGTTTTTAGCGTGTAATTAATCATACTTTTTATATTATGCGGCGCCGTACAAATGAAATTAGCTTTTTTGCGTCAAAGGGTAATTTTTTAATTCCAATTTAAACTGTTCGTGTTTCAAACAACGCGGAGCTGTTAGCCCAGGAATTTTTTTGGCTAGGATGTTTTTTTATAAATTTGAACAGTATGAAATATTTAATTAATTTAGCATGAGTATTTTTCATTCATTCATTACTACTGAGAATTAAAAAAATATAGAAATACCTACCGAATTTCGTCATTTTTCACTCGCATGTCGCTGGTCTTACCCATGATCCAGCTTTTTCTACGATACCAAAAAGTTATTAAATAACTTTAATCTATTTTTTCTGGGCCGAAGGACTATTATCAGTAATAATAAATAAAGATTTCATCGGGATTTGTATAATAGAGGAACTAAGTAAATCTTAATTTTCGTGACAAAGATGGACGCGTTTCTTTTGCTTCTCTCCGTTGATGGTATTGAATTTTTTAACTGATGATGGAAGATGGTTTTCGAAATGTTCTCTGTGAAGATATTGTGAATTTAGTTGGTGTTTCCTAAAATTTTAAATTCTTGCTATATGTACTTGAAAATTTTTTTATTTTATTAATTAAATGTACATAACCAAATTTTTTTATCTTCTTAGTAATCTTGAATGATAATTTTTTCTTATAATTTTCTTTTTAAACTTGAATGGCAATTTTTTCTCTTAATTTTCTTATTAAACTGGAATAAAATTTTTTTATCATCTTAGTAACTTGAATTAAAATTTATCTCTTAATTTTCTTAGTAAACATGAACAATAAAATTTTCTCTTCATTTTTTAGTAAACTTGAATAACAAATTTTTCTCTCATAATTTGCTTAGTAAACTAAATAACAAAATTTTCATTTAATTTGCTCAGTAAATTTAACTAACAATTTTTTTTTATTTCCTTAGTAAACTTATAAAACAAATTTGTCTTTTAAATTTCTTAGCAAACTTGAATAACAAAATTTTCTTTAATGTTCTTAGTAAATTTGAATAACAAAATTTTCTCTCAATTTTTTAGTAAACTTGGATAACAAGTTTTTCTTTTAATTTTCTTAGTTTACTTAAATAATAAATATTTCTCTTAAGTTTCTTAGCAAACACAAATAAAAAATTTCTCTTTTAATTTCCTCCGCAAACTCGTATAACAAATTTTTCTTTTAATTTTCTTAGTAAACCTCAATAACAAATTTTTCCTTTAAACTTAAAAAATGAATTTTTTGCTTAATTTTCTCAGTGAACCCATATAACAAATTTTTTTCTTAATTTTCTCAGTAAACTTAAATAAGCATTTTTCTTCTAATTATCTTATTAAATTCAAATAACAATTTTACTTCTAATTTTCTTAGTAAACCTAAGTAAGAATTTTTCTTCTAATTATCTTATTAAACTCAAATAACAATTTTTCTTCTAATTTTCTTAGCTAACCTAATTAACAATTTTTCTTGTAATTATTTTATTAAACTCAAAAATTTTCCCTCTGATTATCTTATTAAACTTAAATAAAAAAATTTTCCGCTAATTTACTTAGTAAACCTAAACAACAATTTTTCTTCTAATTATCTTATTAAACCTAAACAACAATTTTTCTTCTAATTATCTTATTAAACCTAAACAACAATTTTTCTTCTAATTATCTTATTAATCTTAAGTAATATATCCCGCGTATGACAGACGGGTCCCGCTCAGCTGTACCTCTCAGCGACCGAGCAGATGAAGAAGGCTCAAACAATCAAGGAAATGCGCCGGCAGGTCGTCAAGGAGGACGACGAACCTGACTGGCAGCAGGTCAGTCTAAAGCTCTTACATTTTAATCCAGTGAATTGTAAAAAACGAAAAAATAATAGTAAAGAAAAACAATTTTCTTTTTATTAAGGAACGCTAATTTTTGAGGAAACATTTCGAGGTGCGGTTTAGTAAAACTTGTGCTTAAGGATGGGGTGCGACTAGAAAATCTTAAAGATGTCCGATTAATTTTATCAATAGATAATTAAAATCAAACATTCAAGTCATTCCTGTAATCTATGTCTTTACTTTTGACTTTTGCGATGTCATTTTTAAACAAAATTAACAGGAGTTTAACACATTAAAGTGCGGCATGACCCACCGACGCTGCCAGATGGCCTAAAAACGGCCAAGTTCGCGGATAAAAAGGCCTATAATTTAAAATATCCTGGTCAATTTGTAGATTCCGGTGCAAAAATTAAATTTTCCTTCTTTCCGTAAATTTAAAATTTAATTAGGTGGTATACTGCCATCATAAATTTTTGTCGACAAACGCAATTGAAAAAAAGTAATCGAGGAATTTGTCTGAAAAAAAAAAGACTTTACAACCCACCGGTGTGTTGTGCCGTACTCGACGTGTTTAACAAGTCCAGGAGTTACAAATTTTTTCGCCTCGTGGACTAATTTTGTATGCCACGACTAGCACGTTACTTCCATCCAAGAATTCAGCAGATTTATTCAACTTTTTCTCACCTTAATTATCATGTGAAATTACTAAATTAACTAGAACGGTAATTAACCTCAGTGAACGAAACGCTGCAGTAAACGATTCTGTAAGCGCTGTGGTGGAAATTTTTGAGTTAAAATTTCTAATTTTGGAAATTTTCTATTTGAGTCCTGAAATCCACCAAAAATCTTGAATTTTTGGTGAATATACATTTTAAGGGGACCGACCTAGCAGACGGAAAACTTCTACAGTTATTATCCGATTGTCATGAAACTTCACATACATACGTAAAATGTAAAAGAAAAAACATTTTGCTCCTATGAATTTTTCGAAAAAATTGATAGAAAACTTGAAATTCATAGAAAACGGCTAAAAAGGGGTACTTCAGAAAATCTATCTCCTCCCACAAATATCATCCTACAACATCGAGACACGTATCATTCGATTCGTAAAGACCATATCTATCGACTCTAACATCACTTTTTTCATTTTCCACCTAGTTTTTTTTTATGACGTTTTTTTCCCATTTTTTACATTTTTCACCCCTCCCCCCCTTCTTCCCCATATAAAAAACGAACCAGACCGAAATTCAAAAAAGTGATGTTAGAGTCGATAGGCCTGGTCTTTACGAATCGAACGGTATATGTCTCATTGCTGTAGCTTGAAAACTGTAGGAGGAGATAGGTTTTCCGTGACAGTAAGTTGAACTTTTCAAATTTTTCAGGACGGCGCGACAAAGTCTCGCGCGCCTCGAAATAGGCACTCAATGTAGCATGGATACCAAAGTACAGGCTTCTGTAGCTTAGTCCACTCAAGGATGCAAGCAGCAACTTGTAGCGCACCTCTCCGTTCAAAGCTAGGAGGGTAACTGAGCTCAGATGACAGATGCACCCAGATATGTAGTTTTGCCGCTGTAAGTATCTCTCGTCTATTTACTTAAGAACTCCACCCGCCGCCCCCAAATAAAGGCGGGCCATCTGCGTCAATATTGCCGTATATAGATGGCAGTAGTATCGTTGGAAAGCTCAGAATGTCAGCTTTAAGATGAGACTAAGCATGTAACTGCAGCACAACTCAAGTAGAAACTATATTCAAAGATTTCAGCAGCTAATTAATTTATATCTAATTTCTTAAAGAACTCTCCCACCCGCTTCCATTTAAAGAGACGTCATTAACGTAAATATTGGCGTACAGCGATGGCAGTGGTACCATTGGAAAGAGCAGAATTCCAGCATTCAGATGAGCACAAAAACCGAAAAACGTCAAAATTGAAAATTTTAGCTAGGTCGGTCCCTTTAAGACATAATTTTATTGTCTATTACACTAACTCTTCAATTAAAAAAACATCGGAATGAACAAAATGCTCGTCTTACTGTAATAATATTTTCATCGTAAAAAAATACAATTATTTCAACTCACTTATGAAACGATGAAACTATAATTTATTTATAGTATTATTATAATCATCAATTTATAATGATGACCCATTATAACTTGTGTCATTATAAACATATCATAGTATATGCATAATGACCATAATAATCATGTTGGTATGAAACATCCTACATAATACATAATCCTACATAATCTTGAAGGCTCAGGTATGAGGTATAAACCTGCTATAAATGTACTCGATTTATGCATATATATTGTCCATTGCCACAACGGTATCTCAAACAACAAGTGCATTTACCTTCAATACTGATAAAAACTACTTAGAAGAATATTGTTATCATACAAATACAGCTAATTGATCGACAAGTTTCCCCGTTTATCTTTTTATCGTGAACAATTCATCGACCTTAACTGTATTTATAACTTTATTTGTTCGTCTTATCATCGCTATAGGTATTTTATCAATTGAGGCTAGAACGATGATGCATGTTGATGAAAATGCAGAGATGCATTTGCGATAAATGATGCATGATTAATACATCATTCATCATGTATTAGCAGCGAACATCATTATATATTTGCGTACATGTACATCATTCACCATGAATTTGCGTACCGGTACATCATTCACCATGAATTTGCGTACCGGTACATCATTCACCATGAATTTGCGTACCGGTACATCATTCACCATGAATTTGCGTACCTACATCATTCACCATGAATTTGCGTGCATCATTTACCATGAATTTGCGTACATCATTTACCATGTATTACGTACATCATTCACCATGAATGTACGTGCATCACTCATTATGAATTTGCGTAAATCATTTTCCATGTATTACGTACATCACTCACCATGAATTTAGGTACATCTTTCACCATTAATTTACGTACATCATTTACCATGTATTACGTACATCATTCATCATGAATTTGCGTACATCATTCATCATGAATTTGTGTTGTACATTCATTATTCTTCTGCTGCTGAACCTTCAATTTCGTGAAATTTGCGGTTGATCATAAAGGAACGAAATTTAAAATTAGTTTGGTACGAAAGTTGAATTGTTATTAATCATGCATATAATCTTCAGTTATCGCGTTTACATAAAACATTCACTAATTTTACTAATAAAATGTAAGTAATTAGAATGTCGCTTATGGAACAAAAATAATCCTGGCTAGTTTAAACAAAAATTATTTCTAGGAAAAAGAAGAAAATCGGTATTTACACAAAGTGCCACTATTTTGTATAAAAATTACTTGAAAAATAATGAAATAAATAAAGTACTTATCAATAAAAATATTGATAAATACTACTTATCAATACTTAAGAATATCGTCAATGAACGCGCCTCAAATCAAGTTATTAAGCACGCATATGTTCTGTTTAATGCAAATCTCTCATTAGTCATTACCTTATGAATTCTATATCAAGGAAATGCCTCGTAGATAAGCATGAGATAGAGCTTCTGTTAGCTATCATTTTTAGCTCCCACCATTTAGCTCATATCTTCCATTAGATATCGTATTTTTGTGTCTGCAGCACTCATTCTGTATCATTTTAAAAAATAATTCTCTTGCTTTACCTAATTTTTTTATTTAAATGAAGTTAATACTTAATGGTAGCCCGCAAATAGCCACTAAATAAGCAAATGATTACACGAAATGGTAATGATTGAAAACGATGTGAATGCGTACACAACACACCGTATGTTTCGTCGTGGTGTCTTGCCTCTTCTTATCAATGGCATGATGATGCATTCCGTTGGTACATTGTATCCAATATAACTAATTTAAACAATCTGAATTTTCGACCAAAAATCGCCATATAAAATGCAGCAATCTTAGTATTTTTTTCAGCGCAGTGGTTAAATTTTGGGGTAAAATTTAGTGCAGTGGTTAAATTTCGGGGTAAAATTTAGTGCAGTGGTTAAATTTCGGGGTAAAATTTAGCGCAGTGGTTAAGCTTTGGGGTAAACCCATCCCTCGGCTTATTTATCGATTATCCCGCGGTAACAGGAAAGTGGATTTTAACTTATCAATATTTAATGATGTTGTGTCATGTTTAATTTCGTTATAAGGTAAACACAAAGAAATTAGTTAGACTTTGTCCAAATAGCGATGCACTTTGTGCCCCTGTGTGAGTCATCCTGACCCAGTTTTGACACGGCATAGCGTATCAGTGCTACGTGCGCTTTCTGCTTGTGCTGTGGGTGAAGAAAGTCTGTCACTATTTGGACAATATGACCCATTCATTGTCTTTGAGTGATGGAGGCGGCTTAGCAGCAATTAACTTGATCATTTCACGGCACAGCACCGGAATGTCCAGCAGTGGCACTTGCATGTTTAGAAAATAATTTTAGTTACTTTGAAGTTGAAATTTAGCAAAGCTTCATCACAAATTGTTCTTAAACTCAAACATGGTGCCGTACTATCAAAATTAGTTCAGGTACACGTAGCGGTCTAAGTACACGAAGCGGTTTAAGTATACGTAGCGGCCTAAGTCACGTAGCGGCCTAAGTACACGAAGCGGTTTAAGTATACGTACCGGCCTAAGTCACGTAGCGGCCTAAGTACACGAAGCGGCCTAAGTATACGTAGCGGCCTTAGTATATGAAGCGGTCTAAATACACGAAGCGGCCTAAGTACACGTAGCGGCCTAAGCACACTTAGCGGCTTAAGTAAACGTATCAGCCAAGCAAACCTAGAGGCCGATTTCTCGCCTGTGGTTGGTGGGTTCAGCTTATAAATCCGTCAGTGATTGGCTGACGGAGTTACGAACTCGCATTTATTTTCGATAGATCGGTCCCAAGACTGTTGAACTCTTGATATGTCCTGATGATTTGACGTCTGAGTCTTCAAAATTGTCGTTTTATTTATTCACTAATAACGTTCATGGGTGAGCATTCAGAGAAGATATTTATTTGCGAATAATGCGATGTTTTCACGATTCTATCATTTTAATATGCTTGTGTACCTCGAAGAATAATATTTTGTTAAAATTTTGAAATAATTCGAGCTCTTCGGATGTTATTTCCAAGTGTCTATCTAGGGTATCTTCAACTGTTACTATATAGGGTATCTTTTTTGCGCGTAATAAGGTATCTTCAATACACGTAATTACGGTATCTTTTTTGAACGTTAAACTATTTCTGCCTTCAAATGTCCTGTCTTCTTTGTGGTTTTTACTAAATATTATGTCAAGTTTTGATTAAATAAAATTGGGTATTGGAAGTGAACTTTTCAAATTTTGGTTCTTTTCTTCGATTTAACCGATGTGTGGTTACCGTTCCGTGCGTTTGTATGTTGTGTTTTGTGTCGGGGCACCTCCCCCATGTGTGTTTTGTGTGTTGGGCCATCCACTCCGTGTGTGTATGTGTGTTATTTATATATGCGAGTGAAGTGATATGTTTTAAATTTATTTTCCAATGTGGCTTTGTCAATTTTTGTTTTTCCTCCAATAATAAAATCAATTAACAGTGATTTTTCCATCAAAGTTTTTTTTCACATTATTTTAAAAAATCATATCGAACTTCCGCTAAAAATATCAACAGTTAAAAAAAAAAAAATCTGTTTAGCTATACAACCCTGAAATTTTTATGGCAAAACATTTTTTTAGTTATTAATAAAAAATCGCGACGGTGATTTGGTCTCGCTATGCACTCAGACAAATGAATAGGTCATGTTGTCCAATTAGTGACCCACTAATTACTGAATAAGTGAGTCATTGTGTTTGTGTGCGAGCATTTAATTGTGTTTGGAATGGTTGTGTGGGTCTGAACTTTTATCCTGGATTGCCTCGCTCTCTCTGAAGCAAAGCTTGCATTCAGTACACTCGGAGAAATTTGTGAGCCTTTGTCCAAATAGCGATGCACTTTGTGCCCTTGTGTGGGTCATCCTGACCCAGGTTGGCCCTGCAAAAGAGCGTATCAGTGCTACGTGCGCTCTCTGCTCGTGCTGTGGAAAATAAAGTGTGTCAATATTTTGACAGTATGGTCCATTTATTTTTCTGGGTGTATATGTGATGTTCCGTGTCATTTATGGCCTTCACGAGATAATAACTGGCCAACCAGGTTGAAAAATAGTGCTGGAATTTTATGATAATAAATTTTTATGGTCATAATAATTTTTAATTAAAATTCTGTCTTTGAGATTTCGTTTTTTACAATGTACCTGGTACATGAATTTAATAATTGAACCTGAGCTGTAAATAACGTTTAGAAATTCTGTTGTTGATTAATTTCTTCTTAAATTAACTTTATATTCCTGTACAGTACACTATTGTTGTTTTAATTTTTACTACAGAATTTTTTTACTGAATCTTATCTAATTTCTACATCAATAAGATCCAACGTTCATTTCCGATCACAAACGACCTTTATAAAAATTTTAACCATTCAATAGTTTTAGTTTGGTCATCACCAAACACTTCAAGGTGATTTTCATTTATCGTTAAACGAAAAAATTGAATTCTAATCTTAATTACTGACAAAAATTTGAAAATCCACGTAATCACTATTTATGAACCTGGCAGTTTAATCAGTGAAATAAAATTATAAATCCACTTAATAAATTTTTTTAACGTGGCAGTTATTTTTAATGTATGATTTCATTTCAAGTTAAGGGGTTTCAAAAAGTGAGTCAAGGAGAGAGCGAAGCACCTTAAAAAACCCACTTTATAAAAACATTTTTAACGTGGCAGTTATTTTTACTGTATGGTTTTCATTTCAAGTTAAAGGGTTTCAAAAAGCGAGTCGCGGAGAGAGCGAAGCACCTTAATGCTCCTTGTTTGCTCCTTAACCTATTATTCCTGATCCTTGAATTCCTTTGTCCTTAACAGTCGTCAGCGGCCGCTGACCCTCAGGATGACTGGAGAGCGGTAAGACTTAAGGGCTTTCCTCTCCATTTAAATTACCTATTTTATGATTTTACCTGTCATGACTTAGCCCTTCTGCCCTTAACCTGTGTGCCGTCTTTCCCCTTTATGTTTTGCCCTTAACCTGCGTGCCGCCTTTCCCCTTTATGTTTTGCCCTTAGCCTGTGATCCGCCTTTTCCTCTTTGTGTTCTGCCCTTAACCTCCTTGTTGTCTTGCCCCTTAGTTTTGCCTATCTGCTATCGTATGCCACAAAACACATAACCGTCTGATGCCTGTACCCTTAGTTTCCTTATTGTCTGATGCCCTTAAATTGTGTGCTGTCATTACCCTTAGTTTACCTTCTGTGTTATGCCCTTAGTTGTTTGTTGTTCTACCCCTTAGCTTAGTAATGCATTATTCCATTAGTTGCATGCTTTATTTCCCCTTAGCTTTCCTTCTGTGTTATGTAGGTAGCTTCCTTCTCGTTACCCTTTCCATTGATTATATGCCATTCCTTAAAGTTAATTCTAATTTGAGATGTTAGTTAAATAAATAAAATTACGTCTCAATGTGTCACTAGAACTACTTTTTCCATACGCCTAGTCAGTTTCAGTCAAATTCAATTTATTAGAGAACATTTCTTTCCGGCAGAATTCGGTAAACTGCTCTACTTCGTTCCAAAATAAAAGCATTGTTACTGTTACTTTATTTAATTGTAGTTTTATTGTTCGTATCTTCCAATCTACGAAATTTTCTACGAATATAACGAGTCTCTGGAGTGAATTCCGATCTCATTTCATCAATATGCGCAGAAAAAAATGTATGCGCCACATTGTCCAAATCACGTTCATAGCCACTGCAGGAGCAGACGCAGCGCTAATACCGCTTTTTGCCGGGCCAAAGTGGGTCAGGATGACCCACACCGAGACCAAAATTTCATCGCCATTTGGACAAAGTGTCGCTCATTTCTCTGGGTGTCAATATATACTTCGAGTTTCATTTGTTTCAGAAACTAGCGACGGATCATCATGAGTTGGATTTAATTGTGCATTTTCTTTGGCCAATATCGTATTTTGGTTGCACGGTTTATGAAATTAACGCTTAACATGACGCGACTAAGATGCTAATTATAATATAGGTACTCTTATTAACGCTTATGCTTATTCAATGCTTTTCGCAAAATATTTTTTTTATTTAATATTTTACTAATTTGAATCGTGATCACGAATTCTCAAAATTGCGGCAGCTCTTAATATTTTTTCTGCTTTAATTCCTAATATCTGTCTTTATAAGAATAAGCTAAGCGTGCATGCCAATACCATCTCTTCAATACATAATTACTTACTACACGGCATCAATTATTAAAATCTCAATTGTAGTGAAACTTTGGGAAATAAAATTTAAAAACATTATAGGACTTCTTCAAAGCTAAAGTTAGAGAAGTAACGTTTAGAAAATTTCCGTTTCTTTCGTTCAATGCCTTTACGAATATTGTAAATATTGTACCTATCATGCGAAAAATATTGATGTTGCATTTATAGAGTTCTATTTCTATTGAGGATGCTAACAAACTAATTTCATGCAACTACTACTTCTCGGTATTTTACTGAAAACACGCATTGTTGACGCGAGATTGAAGACCATTTTGAGAGGAATTTTGAGGAAAATGTGTCCGCGTGACGTGTCAAAAATTCCCGTTTCAGGAATAAGAATATTGCAGTGTATACCTTCAATATCACGGGCCATGGGCGCCGAGGCGTGGTATTGCGTAAATACTTGTATTTTATGCTATTAACTGCAATCAAGTTATCATAATTAAGTGATTGTCGAGTGTTATTATTATAATTATAAATGTTTATTGCTGTTAGATTGTATTTTTAGACCATTTCTTAATAGCGTATTCACATTCATCACTCCTATGAAAACTGGAAATCTTTTGAAATTACTACTCAATACTTACGAATTAAGACTCTAGAACTTATATACTAAAGAAAATATCAAACTTTCAAACAATTTCGTGCTATTCAATACAATTTATTAACCTTTTTGAACTAAAGCAATTGCCTTTGCCGGAGGTAGAATTTAACTTTCTAATTTCATGTTGCAGGGTTTTAACCCTAAATTTTATATATCTGGACAGAATTTGCTAAATTGTGTATATTTTGGACAGAATTTGGACAAATGGAAGATGACGCGGCGTAAAATCAACGAAGATGCCCTGGAACGCGTCATTGAAGTCAAGAAGTTCGAGAACGAAATGAGTCAAACGCGCCGGAAGAGTAAAACTTTCAGCGAAATGAGGGAAGAAACGTGAGTAACTCACATACTGTGAGGTGAGAGAGATGTGAGTAACTCACATACTGTGAGGTGAGAGAGGAGATGTGAGTAACTCACATACTGTGAGGTGAGAGAGGAGATGTGAGTAACTCACACTGCCAAGTTCTAACTCGCTAGCAAGTTCCCCCTCAGAGGGAACTTCTGACGCGTGTCTGTGCTCGTCAGAAGTCCTATGGGATCTCGCGCTCCTAGAGGGATTGTTCCTGAGCGCCCCACCGCTGAGCTCGTGGTGTCTGACTGCAGGTCTCAGTTGTGGGGTTAATTAAGTTATTATGTAGGTAGGATTCCTTACAGTAAGTTATTATGTAGGTAGGATTCCTTACAGTAAGTTATTATGTAGGTAGGATTCCATACAGTAAGTTAAAATGTAGGTAGGATTCCTTACATTAAGTTATTATGTAGTTAGGATTCCTTAAATTTCCCTTCTTTGTCTCTCTCGTGCGGGCGGCCGACGTCCCGTGTAAGCGACCTCTTGTACGAGTGTCTTCGTTTCTGTTGCTTTTCACCTGTCCCTCCTTGTCACCTGTCCCTCCTTGTCACTTCGTCTCTTTGAGATGCTAACGCTGCTTTTTCGAGCCAGCTTCAGCGGGCTGGGCAATTGAGACCTTCCGCCTCTTGTGGGTGATAAATAATTTTTTTATTCTAGAAACTCTAAATAATTGAGAGAGACCTTCCACCTCATTGATGATGTTCATAATGACTTTCGGTGCGAGATAGCTAAATAGCTGAATCGCTAGTAAACATGTGTCCACTAAACAGACTAACCAACTAACTCGCTAGCAAGTTCCGATTTTTATATTTATTTTGTGAAAGAGTTTTATTTGGAAAAAGTTTTAGTCGTGGGTATTAAAAATAACAAGCTTAATTTCTCTGATATTAATTTGAAATTAAATTTTCAGCGGTAAACGAGGACTTCGTCGCAACCTAATCGTCCATGACGACCAAGAAGCGGACGACATCTCAAGTTTACTGAACTGCGACTCGGGGGCGGCGGCCCCCAAACCTGATGACTCATTTAACAGCGACTACAAAACCAATGAAAACGAAGATCTAAACGAAAACAATTCCATTACAAACTCCGAGTTCAAGAGCTCAAACTTCAGCACTACGTCGTCTTCAAGTATTAAAAGTACGACGAGAGAAGTAGTAGTTAAAGAATTACTTGACCAAGATAACAAAGATGCCAAAAGCGATGCCGGGTTCTGCACAGGCTCGGACACCGGCAGTGATGGACAGTTCCATGAAGATAACATCAGTGATACTTCTTCTGCACTAGTGAGTTGTTTCTGCTTATATTATATATCAAATTCTATTCATCCCATTAAGTGAAATGAATATACCCGAACCCCATGCATTCTACTCATCAAGTGGAATGATTACACCGAACCACATTCATTCTATTCTTCAATTACGTGGAATGAGTATACCCGAAACCCATTCATTTTATTCATAACGTTGAATGATTATAGCCTAACCCATTTATCAAGTAAAATGAATATACCCGAAACCTATTCATATACTAATATATCAATTCATGCCTATAGGTGTTGTGTTTTTCGAGTGACTTCATCAGTATTAATGAATTTTTTTGTTGCTGTTGTTGTTTGTTTAAACTTTAATCTGATTACTCTAGTTTATGTATATCAGGATGCTTTAGAGTTATAACTGTATTGTCATTGTTCGTCATTTGTATATTCTGGAGTTTGCTCTGACGTTTATATATATTATTATGGCTTCTGAAATTGTGCCTGGTTAATACGTGGTTCTTCACGTCTAGCCGAAACTTTTCGTTGGTCATATATAATTTTTTTTTTAATTTTGCTGATTTCAGTTCGTCACACTCAATTTTTCGTTTTTTTTTTACTGATTTTTATTTCATTTTCTTAATAAGTAAATTATTTAAAACGTAATTTGTCTATTTATGAAAAAGAATCTATAATCAACTGAGATTTATTTATCTTCAATCGCCAATTTATTTATCTTCTGATGACTTTTTATGAATAATTTTCATTCGAATTTGTGTACCGGAAAACTTATGGGTCTTTTCGTGTTCGTGGTGCGTGATTCGTTGAGTTTTATTGGTGTTACTCCGCATTGCAGGGCGACAAGAAAGAGACTCATGACTCACTTTTGGACGCCGGGATGCAGCTGAAGGATGAGGAAGCCATGAGCTGTTCATCCATGTCATCCAGCAAGCAAGAGACCATGGAATATACGTACGATAAAGCCATCGAAGGATACAAACAATTTGCACAAACTTCCGCCAAAAAACGAACTGCCAGTCTCAGTAACCTGGCATCCTTTGACAAAATTAAAACCGAAAACGTTGCTCCGACCGGAAATATCAGCAATAAATTGAACTTTTTCGTCAAAGAAATGGGTAAAGAGTTCGTTAAACCATCATCCGAGAAAGTTGTTATCATGCGAGAGAAAAACGCAAAAGTTGACATTACGAAACGAAGAACCATGTTTGAAATGAGTCAGTCTTCATCAACTATTAACATGACTGGTAATGATTCATCGAAACTTGATCGCCGACGATCGACGGACATGACAGCGTCAACTGGCAACCTCAGGAGCAAAGTTGCGTCCTTCGAAGGATTCGAATCTCCTCAAGAAAAAAGCAAGACAGATGCAACTATGAAAAATTCCACGGTGAAGAAACAACTTGCAAATTTCTCATCTTTGAGTACCGAAGTTATCACGGCTTCGAAAAAACGGACCCCTGAAAAAGATAAAAATTTCTTACAGAAACTCGCCTCGTTTTCGAACAAAGAAAGCGGCGAACAAACTTGGCGCTCAGAAAGTTATGATTCGCCTCCGAAAGTTTCAAATACTCTTAAGTCTAAGATCGCTTCGTTCGAACAATTGGATCAACGAGAACAATCATCAAACTTCCGTCATGACGAAACCCAGAGATCAGAAGAGCGATCGGTCAGCACGGAGAGGCTATCCTGGACCTCTGTTAAAAAGCTCGAGGTAAAGGTTTCACCTATAATAAATAATGAAACTACCCTACGAAATAAGTCGAAACTGACGGAAAATGCTCGTAAAGCACCGTCGGTTTCGCGGGTCACTCCTTTCATTGAGGTGTCACTGGGAGACGAAAAATTTGTTGACCCTAAACGTTCGTCGCATAATGATCCTCAAAAACGTTTCACCGTTTACGAAACCATCGAGTCTGTGCAAATGACCGATGTACATGGCGACTCTGCTCCCATGTATTCTATATTCAAAGACGGGACTGAAGCATTTCAGGATGAGGTTCGTAGGTGTAACGAGTTTGTTTTACGGCGTGAGCGTGGCGATGAAAATTTCGTCGAACTAACTCGCTAAAATTGCCTGCTGAATTTTTCAACTAATTTTTACGAAATTTTCCTCGTACCTGAATTCTCTTCGCTTATCAGACAGCTTCAAATATTTTATTCTCCGCCTACGGCTAGCTTGTAACGTTTTTGTCATTAATTCATTAATGATGCACTAATTTACCTTAACTACGGAAATCAAAAACCGCCTCTTATCATTTCGCGTGTCCCCAAAATGTCGATTCTCAAATCAATTTGCGAAGACCACAATATCAGAAAGTCAAATTACACATAAAAAATGTTTCTAGGTCCAATTAAAATATTAAATCTTTCATCACTCGCTATTTTAGCTGCTTATTTAATTTTTTGCTTGTTTTTGTCGTGATTTTCGCGCTTTAATCGTTGGCGTGTATAAAATTTGAGCTTCCGCTAACGCCTTGTCAATTTTTGTGGAGTGATTTCACTTTTTTCGATGACGCTCTTCCGTGACGATGTTGCTTTGGTGATGACTGATAAAATTGTTTCCAATGTTATTTCCATGTAATTTTTTTTGTTGTACTTTACAATGCTTGGAGTTACATTGTGTTTTATGCTAAAAATATGCTGCTATCATTTTACGTTTGCTCGACTAACTTAATAATTATCGACTTCAATGTGAAAACATTTTCATTAAGGAATTATAATCATTGTTTATATTTTAGTTAAGAGGAAAATGTTTCGTAACTATCTCGATTGAAACATGCATCGGCTATTCATACGACAATCTTGTCTCTTCATGGTACCATCTTGTCAATGTTATAAAATGGAGTTAATTTTTACATTCAAAACCTTTCGCTTTTACCTCACGGACCTTTCACCCTTTGCCATTACCCCAAATGCTCATTACTCTTTACTGACATTTGTTTTACTATCATGTTTAAAATACAATTACTTTACTATAATTTTCCTATCAAATCCCACAGTCTCGGGTTAGCAAGTCACCTTTGGCCTCTCGCGCCGAAGAGGCCAAGCAGGAATCGACTTTTGGGCCTCGCATTTCATCCAGCGCCTCTGCCAGCGTGGCTGACTCCGCTGACTGTCCTCCCCTGAACCTCAAAGGGGATTTGTCAGCCACTGAGGCCCCAATCAGCACATCCTCTCCTCGGACCGCTGACGAAAAATCCGCTTACATCCGCGGTTGCGGATTAGCTGACGAACAGCAACCGATTTATGACGATGTGTTGAACACTGAACAGCCGTTGAACACTGAAAAGCCGAACACTGAACAGCTGATGAACACTGAAAAGCCGAACACTGAAAAGTTAATGTACGCTGAACAGTTAATTAACACCGAAAAGCCGAACACCGAACAGCCAACGAACACTGAACAACCGAACACGCAGAAAACTACGGACGGTGCCGCCCGTCATCACACCTACTCAGATGATGACATCAACGAGGTGAGTCATCAGCAGCTCTGACTCAAATTTTTGTCGTAGAATTTAGTCGATAAGAAAGTTACAGGAAAATTGTTCATATTTTAGGTGATACTTTAACCGCTACAAATTTAAAAATGTCCTTTTATTTGGCAGTAAAGAAAATTTGTCTTATTTTAGGTGATGATTTAACCACTAAAAATTTCAAAAAATTTCAATTTATTTTGAGATAGACGCCGAATTTAGAGTAATATCGTGAACAGAAAATTATCTTGCAGTTCTGTCAACTTTCCATCTTTGAATTTTATCGCTAGAAAGTACCAATAAAATTTAAGATCTTTTGGTTGAAGCCCAAAATTTTGGGAATATTGTTAGTAATTTGCGACGTAATTATTCATTTGTACTTAATTCGGATATGAAATATGAGTATTCGGAGAATCAATGCCGGTGTTTGTTTTCTAAATATCGGCTTGCTTTTAAAAGCATCTGCTATGACAGGCTGAGTGCCATTATTCACAATATTAATCACAAAATGTCATAATCAATACTAATCATTGAGTGTCATTATTCACAATATTAATCACAGAGTATCATAATCATTACCAATCATTGAGTGTCATTATTCACAATATTAATCGCAGATTGTCATAATCAATACTAATCACTGAACATAATTATTTTCGGGGTTTGATCTACTCACCTGTTGTCATAAAAATCTTCCGTTTGTTATCTCAGGATCGCTGTTTTTTTCACAATTTGTAAGTTGTGCAAATGCTAATGTAATATTAACTTTTAATTTTTCTTACTTTTATAGATAATTCTTACAGATATATTATAATTTTTACAGGCTATCAGCGAGACTGAGACTGTTGCTCACAGCGTCAGTAGCTACGGCAAGGTTAGACATCAGAGATATTTATGTATTTGTTACATATTCAAATACAATTTTTCTTGCATGTGGCTAACAATTTGCTAAGTTATGTTATGTGGCTAAGAATAAATTAGCAAGAAATATGCAAACATATTCCTTATTTAGAATTTTAAAACAAATATTTATATCTATTTTATTAATGTGAATTTGTTTTTTTTAACAGAGCCTAAGCACGCAAGTCCCCCCCAAGCGGCAGCTCCCCACCATCCCCCCCACTCCCTACAAGCCCCTCACCTCCCCCTCCTTCTCCTCCGTACCTGCGCCCCGCCCCGTAAGTTGTGATATTATTTATTCTTCTATCTTTTAAATTTATTGTATTTTTCACAATCATTATATTTTACACATTTATCTATGATTTTTTTCACAGTTGGTTATTTGACACATATATTTATTGTATTTTCCACATTCATCATATTGTTCTGCCATCGTATATATCTATTTATTGTATTTTTACACATTTATTTATTATTTTATTCTGCTATATTACATATTTGGTTGTTTACCATCACCCATATTTTCAACGTGTCATTTTTCTAAAGGAGCATAAAATATTCATTGAAAACACAACACTAAATATATTCATTGAAAACACAATGACGAAAATCCCATCAACAAAACAATATTTTCACTAAATTTTTCACCCACAGGTTGTGTTTGAGAACTGGTCCACAAGTGGGGGACCTATCGCTCCCCCCTCAGAGCCTCCCCCACCACCTCCCCCCGAGGAAGATGACTCAGATTGTGACCAAGAAGTGAGTCACCCGACGGGTGATCGCTGGAGCACCGACGGGGTATCCTTCGAGCATCCTTCCATCTGCTCCCCCACTCCCTCAGACACTCCCTCACTTGTGCACTCCGAGGTACGTTACTTACTCCCTCTTGTGAGGTACGTTACTTACCCTCTTGTGAGGTACGTTACTTCCCTCCTGTGAGGTACGTTACTTACCCTCGCGTGAGGTACTTACCCTCTTGTGAGGTACGTTACTTACCCTCTTCTTTGGTAATCGTTTCCCCTCATCTGAGGTAAAATGTTGGCCCTCTTACTAGGTATCATTCTCAGCAGAGGTACGCCTCCCCTCCCCATTTGAGGTACCATATTTTGTGTGCTTGTATTAATGTTTCGTGTACTTGTATAGATGTTTTGTGTTTGTATAGATGTTTTGTGTGCTTGTATTAATGTTTTGTGCGCTTGTATTGATGTTTTGTGTACTTGTATTAATGTCTTGTATGCCCAGGCGAGCTCGAAGACCTCCTCGAGCACCAGAGAGGAGCTCAGGCGTCGGCGCTCAAACTTCCTTGGCACCTCGCAATGTGAGTTATATTCATAATCAATTAATAATAACTATCATCTTATAATGGAAAATATACTAACGTTCATCGTAATAATGTTATAAAATTTTGCATTACTCACATGGAACTAATATTCACTGGCCGGAGTAAAGTTCATCTGTAATAATCATCATAATTGTGTTTTTATAATGTTAAAATGTTATGTATATAATCTTATAGAATGATAAAATGTTATATATAATCTTATATAATGATAAAATGTTGCGTTGTTCTCATATCACATACTGACTGACCGGAGTAATCATCTTCTATTAAAATCATCATAATGTTGTTATACACAATGCATCATAATGCTGTTATACACAATGCATCATAATGTTGTTATACACAATGCACCATAATGCTGTTATACACAATGCACCATAATGCTGTTATACACAATGCACCATAATGCCTACATACACAATGCATCATAATGCTGTTATACACAATGCACCATAATACTTTTATACATAATGCATTTATACATAATGCATTTATACATAATGCATTTATACATAATGCATCAAAATTATTAATAGGATATTATTGACCGTTATTAAGTGACCGGAATGTTATTTTAACAGCGGACACGGGCGCTTGTGAGGCGGAGAGTTCGCTCCTGCAGCAGCAGCAGCAGGAGGCAGACCGTAAACTGCAGGAGGCGCGACGCTCCCTGCAGCAGCCAACTGCTCAGGTAACAGTAAAAATAAACAATATTTAATATATTAGTTCATTTAATGTACATGAATGATTATTTATTGTTATTAATATTATATTATCTTAATTTTAAATGGTTTCAATTTAATATTTCGTATATACCAATTCAATGTGTTAAAAAATTGAATTAAATATTATCTTAATTAATTATCTGGTGATAATTAAAAAAGGATTAATTATAACCAGATTTTGAACGACATCAGTCAGTTCTTAATAATTATTATTAATTCATTTAAATGATAAATAATGATCACCAGATTCTGAACGACATCGACCAGTCCCGCAACGCGCGTGACGTCACGAGGCACCGCTACACGTGGGAGGACAGAGTGAGAGCGGACACGTCCGCCCGCCCCGACAACCTCAACGACACTGACGACGGATACAACTATCACAGCGTTAGTTGTTTATTTGATTTAGGAGTATCGTTAATATTTTGAAATATTTTAATATTTTATAGTAAGTTGAATATAGTAAATTTTGAGAGAATATAGTAAGTTTTTAGTGAATATAGTAAGCTTTAAACGAATATAGTAATTTTTGAGTGAATATAGTAAGTCTTAAACGAATATAGTAATTTTTGAGTGAATATAGTAAGTCTTAAACGAATATAGTAATTTTTGAGTGAATATAGAAAGGTTTGAGTGAATATAATAAGTTTTAAACGAATATAGTAATTTTTGAGTGAATATAGAAAGTTTTGAGTGAATATAGTAAGTTTTGAGTTAACATAGTAAATTTTGAGTGAAAACAGTAAATTTTTAATGAATATACTAAACGGGGAAAGGTCACCTCGAAAATTTTAACGATGAGGGGTAATCACTTACCGTTACTGTTTTTTAATAGTATCGGTAATATTTTAAGTGAATATAGTAAGAGTTTTTGAGTTGACATGGCAGCTGAAGCATCGCATTTTACTACCACGTAAAAATTATTAGTTATAGGTCACCTCCACGGTCGTTGGTACACTCAGGGCAATGAATGAGATCTTGGCCAAATATGTTTGTAGTTTTTCACTTTCTATTGATCATTCTGATTTTTGGCTCGGTAAAAGGGCCTATCAATTTTTCTGATTATACCTCCGCACATGTGTGATGGTGAAAAATCAACCCTGCTGATATGTCCTTGTTATGTTAGGTCGAATTAATGTTCTTTTTTGTTTACTCACGTTTGTTTATTTTATTTTGCAGAAACTGCAAGAACTTGAGGTTGAAATGCTGCGCCATGACAGAACTGTGATCAACCGCACTATCTCTCAACAACAACAACAGTTGTCGAGTGGACTTGATATATACGACGATGTCGTACCAGATGTTCCTAAAAGCGACAGTCTTGCGACAGCTTCCAGCCAAAATCCCCAAAATGTTCGCGCACAGAACGGGATTTCGTATGCGCAAAATCCGCATACGCAAAAGTCTAGCTCTGTCAGCATCAACAACCGCTCTGACGACCGTCAGCCGAGCATACCTCGAGCTGACAATTCCCAGCCTGACATTAGTACACGACAGCAACGTGCACCTACTGCATCAAATCAACCATCAAACTCAGTTAATTATGAGCCGAAATATCCAAACAATAACTATCATCAACCACCCGATACTCGTAGTGGTTCTTATCAGCATCAGGATGATATCAGGGAGCAGAATTCCTACTCAAGCAGCAACTATGAGCACAATGAGTCGGAAAAAATGGTCAGTTACCGGGAACAGAGTTACTCCATAAACAAAAACTATGCATCGGAAAAAATGTATCCAGAAGATAGTGTTCCACCTCCTGAAAAGCCTATGCGTTCATACACAACTTGCTATGATTCTACCCAGCCTACCCAGCCTAACCCTCCTGAACCTATGCCCAGGAAAATCCTGCCTCCGCTGCCCAAAGAAACCGAGTGAGTTGAATTTATATGATAATTGTATTGGGAAAGTAGAATATACATGAAATATCTATACATACATATAATATGTTTGTGTTATAAAAATAGACTAAAGGTTTTTTCTGACAAATTGCCCCATAGCCAAAATTATAACGCCAATTGCGCGTTTTTTGTGCAATTGTTTGTTTAACATAGAAATAATTTCGTTACATATAAAATGAAATTTTCCATGCTATTGTTCGCTAATATTTATGCCTATTCTCAAATTTATGCTTCGATTAGTCTTCAATTTATCATCGCGTTTCATTTAATTTATTTTTTTTTGTTCGATTAAATGGATTTCTCCATCTCTATTAAAATTGTCATAGATTACCAAATGTTGCCACAAAATTACGTTCGTTCCAATGCACTTCTCTGCCTGATGAGCTACATAAATAAAGTTTATTGCAATATTTTTCAGTATTCAAGGCTTCAAATAAGTTAAAACAACAAAATTTACTCTGCACGTCCTTCTAAAATATCTAATATTCATTCATGCTTCTCAATACTTGTTTTTGTTTGGTTTTCATTTCAAATATGATCCATACTGCAAATTATTGTACAGTTTTTAAATCAAAATTTTGTTTACTCCAATCAAGTCTTTTTTTCCAAACAGAAAAACTGACTCTTCTGAAGGCTTTTTTGGAAAATCAAATTTTTTTTAACCCTGTGAGGTCCTTATCATCAGTACTAATTCCTCCGATTTTTTTGAGAAATAAAATTTTTGGGGCTAATCAAGTATGTATTTCAATCAGAGAGACTGACCATTCCGAAGTTTTTTTTGCGTCAAAATCAAAATTGCGTTGACCTAATAAAGTCCTTTTTAGCGCATTTTCTCATTTATGGAAAAAAATGCACTATTGTGCTCGCCATGTCCGTCCGTCTGTCCGTCCGTCCGTCTGTCCGTCCGTCCGTCCGTCTGTCTGTCCGTCTGTCTGTCCGTCTGTCTGTCTGTCTGTCCGTCCGTCCGTGACTTCACGTTTTCGTCAACGAGAATATGCGCTCTCTGTCACTCACTGCAGTGAGTACTGAGTTATATTTTTCCCACCCAGGGAGCTCGACTACACTGAAGGCCCACAACAACACTTAAGTCGCCAGTCCCGGCAGGCGCTGTCTGCCATGCCGCGTAACCGCCTCTCCGACGGCGAGAGTTGGATTAAAAGAAAACCTGATACCAACCGTGACTATAGCAAGCACTGGCTTATACAGGTACGTTAAATCTAATAATTATTCTTTTAGTTCGATTTATGATGTTATTTTATCCATAATTAAAAAACTAATATTGAAATTCTATTGGAAAAACTAATAAGAAAATTGCCAATAAAACGAATTTTCTGGTCTTCAACGAAACCTGCTTAAAGGAACAAATTTTGCCAACCTATGCTAATAATAAAAAAACCTAGCTTATTTCATCCAGTTCTAACGAGATTCAGTATTCAGGCACTTTTATCAAAATTATTTCTGATGTATTTTTTTTTGTATTACTAACTACAGGAAGCCGAGCAACGTCGGCTAGAGCAGCAAGATCATCGGACATCCTTACGCCAACAAAATGCAGCCAACAGCGTCGGTTACCCGCCCAAGATTGAAAGTCATTCAACCACCAGCATCGGTTCAGCAAATTTTACATCCCCTTACTTGAACGCAAACGACTCCCATCTTCCTCGCAGCTCTGACATCACTCTGAATAGGGGTTTGGATCCCATGAACAGAGCTCCTGATCCAATGAATAGGGCTTTGGATCCCATGAATAGGGCTTTGGATCCCATGAATAGGGTTTTGGATCCCATGAATAGGGCTTTGGATCCTATGAATAGGGCTTTGGATCCAATGAATAAAGGATTGGAGCCAATGATTAGGGCTTCGGAGGCCATCGGTCGCCTCAATGACTCCAGGACCTCGGAGCTCTTGCTGGGCGCTGGTGACAGCAAAATTGCGACCCGGGACCAACAAACGCCCACCAACAGGAACACAAACCCGAATTCGTGGATGAATCAAGCCACCACATACCAGCCGCTACCCTCCCCCTCTGTTGACTCTACTGCCAGATCAACAGAGAAACCTCTCCCCGAATCTATTATCAACAGCATTACTCAGCGTGTCAACAACCGGAGCAGACCAAGCTCTGACAACAACAGTAGTGGAAGGTGAGGTATCATTGTGTTATCATTTGAAGATCAAATTTAAATTAATCAAGAATTTGCAAGCAAATAACATGCAAAATTTACCGTATGTTCATTGAAAATATTTTGGAATCGTAAGCAAACTTAGGTATCCTCCTAATATTTTTTTACGAATTGTTCTGTCCTTCATTGTTCATTGTCCTTCATTGTCCAGTTCTTATTTCTCAACGGTAGACCTGTAAATCTATATCATCAATTAAAAATTGTTTGGCCCATTTTACGGAGTCCAACATTTACAACGCGAATACGCTATTTTTTGATGAACAAAATACAGATGCCCTGTATTTTCCCCGTGTATTTTTGAATTTCATGTGCCTACTCCACGCAAGCTATACGGTGCATCGTTGATATGACCTACTCCGAATCGTTAGAATATAGATGAGCTAAAATGTAAATGGCGAGTAAGAAATTTAAAATCATGAGAACAATAAGATAGCGAGAACAGATTCTTTGTAAGGATGGTGAGATTCAAGCAGCTGCGGTCGAAAGCTACGTCAGTCGCATGCACTGCAAACCCTAGCAATCTTACGGTTAAGGGCCTGCAACTGCTTGTTACGTACAAGTCTTTTAGAATTGGGTATGATTGGAATTATTTACCTTCTTCAAATAGTTATTTTTTAGGAATTAGTTATTTGCCGTTAGGATTAGTTTGTTAGTTATTAGTAATAAACAATTAGTTATTGTTAATTAATTTGTTTTATTTTATTCGAAGGCCGAGCCCCTACACGACGAGTATCACAGGCAGTAACAGCAACCTCCATCACGCTGCTTCAGTATCCAGCAGCGGCCACTCGTACGGCACCACAGATGAAAACTACCACGACTACATGAATGCCGAAGTACTTCACTCCAACTACCAGAACTACCATCAACCTCAAACTGACGATCTTACAATGAACCAACAACTGTACGCGAACTACCCTACTCGACCGCCCTATACTCGCGATCACGATACTCTCAGCAACGGTAACCACCCGCACCGACAACAACAGAATATTTACGACATTTCAACGCCTCCTTCAATACACCATCATAATTTACACGAGTCTCCTCAATCTTCTCCCTCAATCCAGTCTAATCTCAATGCATCACAGACGATAGACAATGGAAGTCCAAACACGACCAGCTCCTCCACGGACGACCAACGTCTCTTGAGCGTCTCTGGCAAGAAGAAATGTTCGCACTGCAGTGAAGAACTTGGTCGAGGAGCCGCCATGATAATTGAAAGTCTGCGTTTGTTTTACCACATCCCGTGCTTCGTTTGCTGTGTGTGCGGCGTTCAGCTCGGTAATGGCAAGGCTGGTGCTGATGTCAGAGTGCGCAATCACGCTCTGCACTGTCACAACTGCTACTCTAATGACCAAGGTAAGTTTTTTTATTTGATATATATATTTTATATATATATATATATATTTATTTTTGGTGTAGTTTGACATAAGTTGTTCTTTAATGCAGGTTTCATTGAAGACCAGAGAGTATTTCTAATTGAACATTTATTTTATAGTTTTTCTCTATTCGGCGAATTAGGCTTTTGATAGGAATTGAAAACTGAAAATATTTATATTTATACTTGGGTGGGTAATGGTCAGGGAATTCATTGATTTAAATTCAGATGTCGTTGGTTGATTAAAATTCAGGTTTAAGGAAGTAATTTTAATTTATTAATGACGTTTTGAATGTGACAACATTAATTTTCAAGTTATAGGATGCTTTGAATACAGAAATATTGGTGGAAATAAGTACGTGATAATTTGATAATACACGAAAATTTGGATATCATATAGATATCAGCTCAGGATACATCGAGCTAAAATTGTGCACAATCTTTCTATATATTTATCAGCGGCTATTTTTTATAAAAATTCATCTATTCTTCGTCACCTTCACAAATGACATGACTTGAGGCTGAACTATAGATAAAGTTTATTGGTTTTCATCTGGGCGGCAAGTTCTTTGTCATTTATAGATCAGTTTTCGATTTGTGTTTGGTATGAATGTTATGGTATTCGATGTCGTGATGGCGGCTTCAAATTTAATACCATAATTCCAATACCCTTTCCTTTTTGCGTTTTATTGAATTCGTTTTTCGCATTCAATAATCGTCTATCGACCGAAACTTCAAATAATATGTCCTTATTTTTAAACTATTTTCTTATTTTCTCTTCGAAATAAATTTGTATCAAGATTTCGTGTAACTGAATATCTATTTGCAGGTATGAAATTCAGCAAAGTTTGAATGCTTGACTGACGCTTACCACCGTCTCCGTGCCAAAGCCAGCTAAGAGGACGGCTGCTACAAGACGTATTCTTGCTTGAATTAAATGTATTATGTGTTGTCTATGTTGAGGAGGCCTCATACTCTCTCATTAATGGTGTTTTGAATTTCACTGTACTTTGCTGTGACCACCGGACTATGATTAACACACAAATAAATTCGCAATTGCTAGGTATTCCACAAATGTCGGTTACGAAAAACCACCGTCAATTTTAGTAAATTTCCTTTCTGAGCATAAAAGTAACTTGAATAACGTTGAATGGATAAAAATATACTTGTTAAGCGCCACTTGCGAAGGTTTCATGTAAATTGCCCAAACCTCAATGTAGATAAATATATTTACGATTGTAAAAATTTTGAATAGCTTCTAGTGATGATTTAGAGCATCCGCTATTTTGTATAACAGCTTACTTAACCGTTGTTCTTCCTTCACTTTCAAATCTGCGGATTTTCAATGCAATTCAATTAAAGGAGTGCACATTTGGGCCGGTAATCTCCTGGAAAAAATGTCCCTATTTCTATAATGTGTAAACGAAGATTTGAAAATTCTCTCAACTGTATTAAGTTACTGAGCTTGGAAGTTAGAATTCAACAGTGAATTTCTTGATGAGTTTGTTGGCTAGAATTCGTGCCCGCCCGTTCACCGCAAAATTTCGTACGCGTTCCATTTGCGATTATGTATTTCATAAATTTGGTAGCATGGTAGTAGTTTCTACAAAAATATTTACTTTTTTCAGTCAAAATAGTTTTTTCAAAAAGACATGTCATAGTTGGAAGATTCTTAATCTGCAATTTATGTAGCCTTCTAATAGGTTTTAAAGGAGCTTTTAGAAATTAAATTAATGTAGCCTGGATTTGGTGGTAAAGTTTTTTTTACTGATGCTATGTACATGTACATTGTCAAAAAATTGCAGGATATAAAGACAAAAATGATGAAATGTTTAATTTTTATTACCATCACAATATATTGTTTAGTGTAAGGTATCAAGTTTTTCTTTTAAATTATGTAATGTTTGTATAAGTTTTGCACATATGGTTTTTCATAAACCTAACCTTTGCCTATTTAACGGATTCTATATTAGGCAGTAAGGAAGTAATTTCTCCGCTTATAATGGTTTAATAAATAAATGTTTTGTAAACGATCATGTCAATTGATCATTAAAATCACCTCATCTGATGCAAATCGATTAGCGTGCATTCAGAAAAATGAATGGGTAAAATTGTCCAAATAGTGACACACTTTCTGCATGTAGCACTAATACGTCCTTTTTCCTGTGAAAACTGGGTCAGGATGGCCCACGCAAGTGCAAATTGTGCGTCGCTATTTGGACAAAATCTCTCAATTTTTCTGAGTGATGTTGATTTTGATATTTCAATAGGATGCTGAAATAGAAGAAAAAACACGTCAAACTGCACTGTAAATTTCTCAGCACAATTGTATTTTTTTTTTCAAAGTACATGCGTGGTCTTTATTTCACATTAAACTTGAATGTAAAATATTCTGTGAACACTAATTTTTATTCCTATTATGATATGTTAAATATTCGACGAAAAGATTAATTTTCATTTTATGGCAACCGTATGTGACGAGTTAACGTTTTTATTTCCTTTCCGCATCGCGTATTTTTTTTCTAACGTAGAGTCAATAATGTAGATTGTATTTTGTAAGGATATTAAACAATCTATTTAGCCATTCATTGTTTGAATATGTGTGGAAAATTGAGACCTTAAGCAGCGGAGTTTTGTTGTATGTTGTATATACATTTTATGTGTTAAGGATTCAATTCGATGCAATGTTATGATGTTTACGACGAGACTTTAATGAGCGACTCATTAGCGCCTCATTAATGAGTGACTTTTAATGAGCGCTTTGAATTTATCTCATGGATCTGCTTTCTAACGGAATACTCAGGAAAATTAACGAGTTTTATTGTCCAAATATTGACCCACTTTTGCACGTAACACTGATACTCCATTTTACGGAGCCAAACTTGGTCTCGATGACCCGTACATCGATCAGCAGAAAGTGCATCGCAATTTGGACAAAGTCCAACTGATTTTTCTGAGTTAAGTATGTAATGGTTTATTGAAGAAAAATGATGGCGGCTGTAAATGATAGCCTGGAGAGAAGAGGCTCAATAAATGTTCTCCTTATCATTAGCGTTAATCATTTCCCTTCGCCTGTGCGCTACGTTCATGTTACAGCAATGATTATATATTATCTCTTTTTATACTCCTATTATAACCGTGGATTCCATCCCAGCTACCTGTGACAGTTCTGGTCAAATCGGCAAGGTGACCGTGGTGGTTAAGCATAGCAAAATTGAAGTAGTGAGCTGCGTGTTCGAGACGCGCACCAAGCTGTGAATGTTCTGCGATGTTCAGAGTCGGCTACAGGTCTACCGGCCTGAACGCTTCCAACGTTATATCATGATAATGAGCAGCAAATATAATGATAGGTGGTTTTTCTCAAACGTATTACACAGGTACACGAGGGCCATTCAGGCGAAACACATTTTGTTTCAAGAAACGATTTTTACATAGTTATTTTAACATCACCTAAATTTTTACAGCTCAACATAAGATAATCTGGCAACGATGTGAACCTATTGCTACACGCCATCCTCCTGGGTGCCTGAGGCCCATAAGTAAATAATTAAAAAGTTTACCGAAATGATGCATTAATTATTAAAATTTTAATGGAGGTCAATACAGACAATAGTGCCTAGTAGCGGATAATATGTAGTATTACACGTGGTGTCTGTACCGGACCTCCTAGTGACACTCGTTCTAAAAAAGCTTGGAAGTCAAATCGAAAGAACAAATTGTTCGTAACTTCCTCGTTTGCGAATTAATCGAACCTACTCAAGTACGTGTAGGTTGGAATAATACTGATTTTTTTTTATTTTGTTTTAAACCTTTCAAGCTTTATTTTACAAGGAAAGAGCATTCGACTCAATGCGAGTATTGACGGATATGAGTACATCTGCTTAGCTTAACTTTATGCACTTTTGCCTTTCATTAGCTTAGTTTTACACGTTTCTATCCCAAAGCTCATAACATAACATAGTGATCTCGGCGCTGAAGTTTAGGCCTGATGTGGCCTGTCGCCGATTCTTTTCCTTTTCGTGCCTTGTTCACAGAGGATCTAAAATCGTGTCATTTGACCGGATATTTTCATGACTGACGATAGTTTCAAGTAGCTACTAGACTTTCACCGGGTTCGATATGGTGCTAGGCATTTCAAATCTGAACATATATTTTTCCATAGCTTTATCTCGTCTGTTCTTGAACGCATTCATACTTGGAGCGCAAACGATGTGCACCAATATTTTTCTATCTGAGCTGTTTTTCATCACATTTTAATTGGGATTCAAATTATGAGATAGAAAACTATTTATTATTGCTGGAACGTGGCTCTGTAAACCTGCATCATTAGCTAAAAATTCTCGGCCCCATATTATAGGGTATGAAATTTTACAGCGCAAAGAGAAAGTTTTTATTGGTGAAAAAATCGCAGTATAATAAATCTTGTCCATCAACATTCTACCACACGAGCTTACCTATACTGACATCGCATCTCAAATTGAAGACCCTTTAAACTGATGCTTGCTCGTAATTTACCACAACACAAATAATTTACTGTGAGCCGAAGTAGCCACGTGTTTTTCATAGCATATGTCGGATGATGCTCGTTAAAACGCTTGCTTTCCGCCGCCCCAGGCAACGCTTGTATTCACTCTCCGCCATCCTTCACTCCACCGCCATCCTTCACTCCCCCGCCATCCTTCACTCCCCCGCCATCCTTCATTTGCGCGCAGTTTTGCTCGTCGCTGGAATCGCCGCAGTCGTCAACTTCGTCGCACAAACTCCACGCGTTCAGGCACATCCCGCTGACCTCGCACACAAACTGGTCTGCCGTGCAGTTGCCTGGTGGGGTGATGAAGAGAACTCATTTTTATCTTAATAAGTTTTATGATAAAATTAGGATACATTTTTTCCTTACTGCGATCGAAAGACGCTACCGCCTGTAGACCGCTGCTGGTAACTGTGCAGGATACAGCCCAGGTCGGACATGTGCTTAAGGCTGCGAGAAAACTAAGTGAATTCCCAGAGTTTAAATCTGCCTTTGTTAAGAAGGATGCTACCCCTTTAGAGAGAGCAAATTTTCGCAATAAATGGCAAGAGAGACTCCGGCGAAAAAAACACGGAAACTCAAGTCAAACACTCTCACGATGTCAAGATATCACCGGCCGCACACGGTCAGTCAGCGGAGCTGGTAGACAAGTAAGAAGTCATGTCCATAGATTCAGGCCTGTAAATAATGTAAGAAGTAAACGCATGCATCAAAGTGAATGTGCACAAAAAGATTTAAAATGTTTTTACACGAACTCGGATTCTGTTTTGAACAAAAAAGTGAGCTGTCAACTGTGATCGAAAATGAGTGCATTGACATTATTGGTATTACAGAAACACTCCCTAAAAATCACGGGGGGAAAATTGTACTTGTTGAATTTCAGTTGCCAGGTTTTGATTGTTTTCATAACTTAAATGAAGAGCAGTGCAGTAGAGTTGTGGCTTTGTGGGTTAGAACCTCTTATGGGGCCCAGCAAGTCAAGTTATCTGCAAAGCATCAATCAGCAAGAGAATCAGTGTGGTGCGAACTTTCTCTCAAAGGCAAAGATAGCCTCCTCATAGGCGTCGTGTATAGATCACCAAACAGTTCCTCTGATAACGATAAAGTACTAAACAGTCTTTTACCGAGCATGGTTTTCCGTAGGTCACACACGTTGATCGTTGGTGATTTTAATCATCCAGAGCTAGACTGGACAGATGGATCCTCTCCAATTAAGGGATGAGAATCACCCAGCATCCTTGTTCATGGAGTCTGTGAGAGACTCCTTCCTAGTCCAGCACGTTTCTAAGCCAACCCATTATAGAAGTAAACAGACTCCCAATATTCTAGACCAGGGGCCGTATTATCAAAACTTCGTATGTAAGCAAAATCGACTTACGAGTGGCGTAAGTGCTGACTTGATGACGTAACTCTAGAGGTGGTATTATCAAAACATTTGCGCGGGAAGATAAGTAACGTAACTGTACGCCTGCTCGGAGATGTCGTAAGTGAAGTTCCCCTCAAGTTTAGAGTGTCTGCTGAAGCGATAGGAAACTATTAATTTACTAGTAAGCAGCAACACCTTGACTTGTGATAGAATTTTGTCAATAATCCGACAGCGCGGATTATACACGCATAAAATGATGGCTCTACTTGTGATATCTCCACTACTTGATCGTGCAACATTTGCACGATCAAAATATGTGATCGTGCTAAACAGTGCTATTGGAAAAAATTCAATTGAGTTAATGCCAGAAACTGATTTTGTTTTCCTTTTACGTTATATTTTACAAGCAAATGCATATTACGTTATATTTTCAACTCTCTTCCAACTCTCTTCATTCATTCCTTTTAGTCGGTACTTTATATCTCTGCCAACCATAATTTTATCTCCGTGCGCAGATTTCTTCTTCAACTCACGCTGTTTATTAAAAAGAGTTCACAACTATTTTAGAACGGCTTTTTCTGAGCCAACAAGAAGCAATACCGACAGACAGCATTCGATAGTCGATAGGTACCATCGAAGGCATCGATTCCCGCCATCGAAGTTCCCAGAATGTAAACAAATCCAAAGCCTCTGATTGGTCAGTTGGCCAGATGGTTTTGATAGTACGCTTTTAGCTAAGCCTTACGTACGAATGTTTTGATAATG